CACAACACACACACACACACACACACACACACACACATATATATATATATATATTATATGTGTCCTTGTATAGCCCACGAAACAATTTGACATGGTATCGGCTCGGCAGTGACCGATAGCACCATAATACTGCTGAGCACAGGTTTGATATTCAGCGTTGTTGCAGCATACTCAAAAAGTTTCCTTCGCGCGTTTTGCATTGAATCCATTTGATTAAGCACTTACGTTTCACATACATACCATCGGCCTCCGCAGCTCCGCTGACCTAAACAGCAAACATATTCATACTACATACATATGCTATTTATGTAACTAGTTGCATTTTAATAGGCAGGGGAGAGGTGCGAGGAATCACATGAGCGATTCCTGAAAATAAGATGAATATCGGGTAAAACAAAAATGCATATTTAGTCCTAAATAATAAACTTAAAAAAATTTCGTTCCGGGGGATCAAAATCTCGAATAAAAGAAATCTAAACGGACATCCTGACTCTGAGGAAAAACGTATATATTTTTGTTCGCGAAATTTCAGGAAAATTCTAAAATAGTCGGGAATCCTGACAAAAAAGAATGAAAGAATTTATTTGTAAATAATTTTTCTAAGCAGACTTTTTCACCAAGGACCTGATAAATATTTTGAAAATCTAGCCTCCTTCTGAAAAAAGAACAGAATATCCATATGCAAGAAAAAAAACGGGAGAATTTTCGAATTATATAGATTGTTCGAGGAAATCACTGATAATTTAAAAAAAAAGGAAAATAGGATCACTTTCAGCCTTCAGGTAAAAATAGGAAAATCGGGAGATTTTCCGAACTACAAAGAGTGTTCGAGAGAAGTTGCACTGTTGAATTGCTGGATTTGCTGCTTATTCAGGATGAAGTCTAGAGAAATTCACAAAATATGTAAGGTTCCATTCCTCACCTCCAATTTTGCCTATAAATGCAAACCTGCTGCCAGCCAGCAGACCATTCACGATTAAACGATATAAGAATCAGACAGTTAAAAACAACGAAAAACAGACAAAGACAATAATACATTCACACGATAATTACAGATGGTAGAACAAAACAACGACGCAGAGAAGTCTGCCCTACAGCAATATGGTAGAGACCTCTGTGAGGACGCTGCGAATGGGAAGCTCGACCCCGTAATAGGTCGAGATGAAGAAATACGGCACGTCATACGAGTGCTTGCCCGTCGAACCAAGAATAATCCAGTTCTCATTGGTGAGCCGGGAGTCGGTAAAACGGCTATAGTTGAGGGACTAGCTCAACGTATAGTCAATGGCGATGTGCCAGAGAGTTTGAAATGCAAGCTCATAGCTCTTGACATGAGTGCTATTGTAGCAGGTGCTATGTACAAGGGCCAATTCGAGGAGCGTTTAAAGGCAGTACTGAAAGAAGTAGAGGATGCGGCGGGTAAAATCATTCTATTTATAGACGAAATCCACGTTGTCTTGGGTGCTGGTAAGTCGGAAGGTGCGATGGACGCCGCCAATCTTATGAAGCCGATGTTAGCCCGAGGCCAACTCAAGTGTGTCGGTGCGACCACTTTGGCAGAATATAGAATGCATGTGGAGAAAGACCCAGCGTTTGAGAGACGATTTCAGCAAGTGCTCGTAGGCGAGCCAAACGTGACAGACACAGTTACCATACTCCGAGGACTCTCTAAGCAGTATGAGCAACACCACGGAGTGAGAATTACAGATGATGCGTTGATTAAAGCTGCACAGCTATCGTCGCGTTATATTTCAGGGCGGTTTCAGCCTGATAAATCGATAGACTTGATCGATGAGGCTTGCGCAAAGGTGAGAGTTCAGCTAGACTCACGTCCAGAGGTGATTGATAAACTTGAGCGGCAGAAGTTGCAACTCGAGATCGAGCAGAAGGCTCTCAAGGGGTCGAAGGACAAACAGCGAACTAAAGAAGTGAAGGAGAGCTTAAAGCGAATCGAAGCCGAGTTGCAACCACTCCTCAAGCGCTATGAACGCGAGAAATCGAGAGTTGACGAAATCAATAAGACGCAAAAGAAATTGGCCGAACTATACAACAAAAAGAACACCGCACAGCGACAGCGGGATGTACAGACGGCCAGTGATCTGGAGTATTTTGCCATACCTCAGTTACAAGAGAAGCTACGACAGTTGCAGATGGAAGAGACGGATCGCAAGGAACGTATGATGGCGGTAGATGAAGAAAGTGACGAGAAGCCGCTGGTCGCTGAGGTGGTCGATGTGAACCAGATTTATGATGTAGTGAGTCACTGGACGGGTATACCCGTAAGCAAAATGGGTATGAGTGAAAGAGACAAGATTTTGACCCTCGACAAGAGTCTAGCCGAGCGTGTAGTTGGCCAACAAGATGCTGTGGATTCTGTAGCCGCTGCCATCATGCGTAACAAGGGTGGACTGTCTCGAGAGAAGCAGCCCATTGGTTCGTTCCTCTTCTGCGGTACCACGGGAGTAGGTAAAACGGAGTTGGCCCGCGCACTGGCTGTGCAGCTCTTCGACAACGAGAAGAACATGGTACGGATAGATATGAGCGAGTACATGGAAAGCCACAGTGTATCTCGGCTCATCGGTAGTCCGCCTGGTTATGTCGGGTATGAGCAAGGAGGTCAGCTGACCGAGGCTGTGCGCCGACGTCCCTACAATGTCGTACTGTTCGATGAGATTGAGAAGGCACATCCGTCTGTTCTGAACGTGCTGTTACAAATTTTAGATGACGGTGTTTTAACAGACTCACATGGCAAGCGCGTGGACTTTTCGAACACTATCATCATCCTTACCAGCAATGTAGGTGCCGAGTTTTTGCTGGCGTCTGAGGATACACCCAAGTCAAAGGAGCTGGTGATGGCTGCTGTGCGGGCGCATTTCAAACCTGAGCTTCTCAACCGTATCGATGAGATAGTGCTGTTCAACAAACTCTCGAGAGACATGTTAGCAAGTGTACTCACTCTGCAGCTTAAGAATGTTGCCGATCGCATTAAGGACCGTAACATATCCGTTAACCTCTCATACGAAGCAATTGACTATATCATACAAGAGGCTTATGTGCCAGAGTACGGGGCACGGCCTTTGCGTCGATACCTCGAGTCGAAGGTGGTTACACCTTTATCGAAGATGATACTCAAGGACGAAGTGCAAGACGGAGATATAGTCGAAGTGTCTGCCAATATGCAAGGACTAGTTCTTACTCGCACGCCAGGTCCGGATTCTGTTGCTAAGGAACCAAAACGTAGGCGAATGTTGTGAGGAGAGGGTGAACGATAGAGAAGAAATCTGCTACAAGTTTGATCCGAATAGGATTTGAGTGTATTTAAACATCAAGGAAGGTAACAAAACAGATATTATAATATTAGTGAATCAAGTAACGCAATAAAAGTTATAAATACAGATTTGATCGTACATTTGGTATCAAGAATATAGGAGCAAGCTTCACAATTCAGGTCTCACATTCGTAAGTACTATCTGTACCAATAATACAGAGCAAGTTTCACAATTCAGGTCTCACACATACATATACTTTCAAACTTGTGTACCGTGATGGTATCGTTCTATAACAGTTGGCAATGCTAAACGTTGCAAATACTAGATTTGATCGGGGTATAGAAAAAAAAATGAGTTCATTCTTGTGCTATTTGTGTGAAGTATTTCTGTAAATTTTTGCCCTACGGTATATGCCCCCTCACAGTGCATTCAATAATTGTCGTAAAAATGCCAATGTGACCCATACTACTCCATTCGGCTGCGGGACCAACACATCAATTGAAAGTGTATCTACATCCATACCCACACAAGCAAAATACCTCCAAATCGGTCCCCAAACGTGCGAAGATATCGATTTTTATATATACAAAAGTACCAAGACTTTTCTACAAATACACACATCAGTACATACTGTTCGCCGAAAGCAGTTGCAACGCGCTTGTGCGTGAGCAAGCAACATGCGCAAATGCACTGCAGTTGGATGTGTTGCCGCCGCGAAATGAACGGACTCGCCACTTCGGCCGTGAAGAATCAAACTTACATATACCACGCCTACATCACACCCACACATACAACAGTGTTTATAGCTCGCTCTCTCTCCAGTAGGTTAATAGCGACCAATTAGTATAGCAGCGACCAGTCTATAGAATAAAGGTCGCAGTCCCTAACCCTTAAACCATAAAAGCTAGACCAGCCTACGACACCACAACAACAACATACCTATCGTGTGTCGCCTAAAATGTATCGTCCTCCCTCAGGCAGACTAGTTCACACAGCGCCCTCGCATTGTATATATATATATATACACACACACATATATACAAATATATACATACATACATACATACATATATATATACATATATATATATAGATATATATTCATATGAATACATATACATGCATATGTGTATGT